AGAAACAAATAATGGTTATTAATTACTACTGTTTATACTATCCTATACAAAAGTAAAGATGATTTAGTGAAAGAACACTCATTCCTGGAGTGTCTGTGGGGAGTTGGTATGGGAAGAAATGAGGATGACCAGAAATACCCAGTTATTCATCAAGAGGCAGATGGTGTGACTTGTACAAGATTTCCAGGAGGCTTCCTAACTGCACGTTCTTCACACACTACCTCACTATCATTGTGTTCCTGTCATGGAACACAGCATGTGCTATTGGATTAGAGGGAAGCATTAGTTGAGGATTGATGAGTTGAGTTTTACTGTGAAATAACATAGAGAAAATGTCGTGTAAGAAAGCACAATATCCTGACAAAGCCAGTGGGTCTAAGTCAAGGCAAACAGTTGGATATAAAGAGCCTGGGGTGCATGGCATAAGGAAACAGAGAGAATGAGAATTGCAGGCAGGCTCGGTAAGCTGCGTGGCACAGAGCAAGTTTAAAAAACATCACACAGAGTGATAGTGAAGGCTTGAAATTTGAACGCCTAGGAGCATTTTAATCAGATGTTTGTGTTAGAAAGAACATTTTCTGAGATGGGAAGTCAGGGAGGACTGGGAAGCAACTCATTGCTAGTCTATGACACAATGATCAATCAATCTGATACTAACAGAATGTTTGAGAAGATGAAATTATAATGAATAATAGCATTTTGTGATGAAGTAAATAAGAGGAATAAGGCAGGGGAGTGTAGAAAGAGTCTAAGATTTTAGCACTTGGAAATGAATTAGATACTAAGGATTCACTCACCTAAAGAAAAGAGAGGAATGCAAGCAGGTTGGGAAGAATATAATTAATTTGACTTTCAGCCACATGTAGCTTGAAACCTGGGACATTCACAGGAAGAGCTCAGTTAACATATATGCTGCGTGGGTTAAAGGAACAATTCTGAGTTGTATTAGGAACAACTGAGGCAAGTCAGACAATGCCTTATATTTTGTGTGATGTAAAGAAATATCATCTGTTGTAAATGAGAGAAAAGATCTGAGTAAACTAAAGAAGGTTTGAGAAATGTAATCTGATCGAATCAGGACACCAAGTTTTTACTAGTAGAAACTTTCTACAAAAGTTTTTTTTAAAAAACTGATGAGTTTTTAAGACCATGTTAATACTGAATGGTAGGAATGGGTAGTGGCAGCAATCTAAATATAAAATTTATCTCTAGTTATTCTCAGTGCTTAAGTTGAAAGGCTTGAAATATAAGATCACAATATTGACTCGTGGTTAAGAATCTGTAAGGCAGTCACAGAAAAACAAAAGTTCCAAATGATTGAAAATGTATATGACAGATTGAAAACTTCAGATGACAGATACTAAACATAAAGGACAAATCAGAAGTTGGTCCTGGCACTGGTAATTAGAAGGTATGACAATACGGGAAAGATTAGTACATTAGGGGTATCTTCAATAATTAAAAATCCAACATAGGAACAGAAGGACTAATCATCTTATATTTCAATAGGTGATGAGGTCCTGACATTGCAAAAAAAAAAAAAGTTTCCTTAAAAAATTATCCACCATATGAAATGCCAGGTGCATCAATACATATTACAAATTCAACAATACACAAGTTAGATAAACTCACACAACCTTTATACCTCTTTTTAATTATATTTAAATGTGTATATAAAACTAATAGATTTACTTTTACCATATCTCCTATACTTAATTATTGTTCATTAGCAAAAAGAACATTTCAGTTTTGTTTTTTATTGAGAAACTTATAGTTCATTTCATATAGAGAGTCAAGAATAGTTATGGTGTCCCTGCTGGTATTCTGGTACTGAAATATAGTGAGTTCTATGAGGAATAAAAAAGCAAATTATAACATTTTTCTATTCAAAAATAATTTGTAATTTTTCAACCACAAATTTCAACCACAAGGGCCTCCCCGGTGGCGTAGCAGTTGAGCACTGGGCTTTGAAGCTGCCCGCAGTCTCTGCAGCACTGGTCAGATCCCCAGCCGACGGCGAGGGTCCCACATGGCACGCAGACCTCTCCTGCCGTGCCTGCTGCTCCCCTCAGCAGTGTACTTCAGCCTGCCTGTTCTGTTCCCTGCTCTGGCTCTGGTGAATTCGCTCACCCTCCCGCACTTCTGACTGTACCCAGTGCTTGTATAAATAAATAAATAAATCTTTAAAAAAATTTTTTTCAACCACAAATATCAGCTTGTATAGATAACTTAGATTGCTGCAAAACAAGATTTTAGGAGTAAAATTACATTTATTTTTCAGTTTAAACTAAAACTATGTTGACTCTTGGAAATTTTATTGTTATATATTTTCTAGGAAAATAAAACTATCAGAATATAAGTCTGAAAAGAATATAGGACTGAAAACAATCCTAGAAAGGATAAAGGATATCACTCACTTACATTTTAAGCTATGGAGACCAAGCTGTGAAAAGAAATTCATTTATAACTGCCTCATGAGGGTTATACAGTTCATCTTGTAACTTCTTTCAAGTGGGTCTGGGCAGACCCAAATGCAAGTACAAGCTATTACTCATAATTTTTTTCAATTTTAAAACCTAATTTGATTTCTTCTTCTTGTAAATCTAGTATCTAGTGCTTTTCTGTGCTTTTAGTAGAAAAGAGGGTTTGAAATTTAAGTTCTTGGAAAACCACCTAAGTAGAATCACTCTCCTTCTAATGTCTGATACAATTGCTAGACAATTTATCAAAAAATGTTCCCCCCCTTTCTTTTTCAAAACCCAAGGTTTATTGTTTCATGTGAAATTAAATGTTAATATTAAAATTAATAATAATTAAATATTTAAAAAATAAACTATTAAAATTAAAAATAAACAACAAAGTTAAAATAATTTTGTTATTTTATTTCATTCGAAGTTGTGTGCACTCTTATGTGAAACACAAAATGGGGAACAGGCAAGTTTTAATTCCTAAGGAATTGTTCCACTTTACAATGTTCAGTCCAGAACATATTCAGCTCTGAGAGCTTGAGGACTGACTGTAATGCGTTGAGAGAAAAACTTCAAGACGGTGAGGACTTTCAATTTGTGATATCAAGGGGACTAAAAATATTTTGTGAGATGAGAAATATAAGGATAAATACACCATATGTATAACATATAATATATATATATATATATACATATGTTTCAGTACATGAAAATGTATCATGCGTAAAGTAGGCATTTATTTTTTAAAGAGCTTGGATCAACATGTAATTACTCTATGAAAAAACTTATTACTTCACTACAGAAGAAGCAGTACAATATAAAGATTAATCGTATAGACACTTCACCAGATTGATCAGGTTTTGTCTATAACTCAACTACCTATTTCTTAATTACATGTTTCAATTTTTTTATTACTGAACAGTCAGTTTGTGAGCTCCTCCTCATCCCTGAGCCCACGCTCGAAACTTCTACCATTTTTTAACTGTGGCAATGGTCCCCTCTAGCTATTACTTTCTGGCCACCACTGATAGCCTCTCAGAGGAGTTGTAAGGGCAAAATAACACCAGCGATGATTCAAGGATATTGCTTGTTTTTTTCACTCTCATTGTCTCATGAGTGTATTGTGGAGTCTTCAAGAGGCAACATGACATATGACATGGCAACAGAAACAGAAGCAAATATGATCTTCCAGATGTCCTCTTGAGATCAGATACTACAGAGATTTGCAAGAATGTAAAACTTCCGCTCTTATCACCAATTTGTTTTTGAAAAGTTATTTCTCATACAAACGTCATCTTAGTTAACATGTACAGGTTGAATATTGTTAATGTTAGACTGTTCATTAATATGGTAAATAGTGATAAATATTACCCACATAAACAAAAGTTCTTTGCAGTCTTTAATAATTTTAAGGGCTCTTAAAAGGGTCCTAAGATCAAAGAGCTCCAGTAAAGCTGCTGTAGATTACATTTCACTATTTCCAGTCGGATTTCTCCTGGGGTCATAGGAGGGCACTATTGAGATATGAGAAGGAAAAAAGGAAAAGGAGCTGGTTCTTAATAATCTACATGCTCTTCATGTTATAGCCCTCTAGCCTTTGGACCTCCAGCAAGTGATCCCAGTAACAATAGGTCCTGGTCCCCAGTTTATTTCTTTTGGAGGGTCTCACAGTGTCCTGCACAAGTCTGATTTCCAGGACTGAGGCCTTTCCTTGAGCTCCTGAGCTGCCAAAGCAGCCAGAAAGTATTCCCTCCACAAAAGATCTGTTAGACACAACTCTGCATCCCAGCCCCAAAGCTTGGACCTGTCTTCCAAGCTTCTGCGCTGTGAATACCTGACCTGGAACAGCACATGCTTTCTGTGGTTCTACCTCTGAATTGCCTCATGTTCCTCCATGCTTTCTCAAGCCCCTGCAATGGTTATCCAATGTCCTAGTATACATTTTCGAGGGGAATATATTAAGATTTCTGTTTTCCTGACTGGATGAAGATGGGTACAATCAACAACAGGTATTATTGTATTGACATCTTTAAATAACTACCCATAATGAGACAACCTATCATCTCTATGGTGACAGAAATTTAATTATCTAAGAGATAATTAAGACTGTTCCGGACTTAGATCTAAAATGTGAAAGAATAATAATAGTTTGCACAATTGATATTATGTTTTCTAGGCATAACTGCATAACCCTGTGACCACATTTACATATATAAAGTTCTCTACATTTATCTAGTCATTTAAAGGCGCACTTTCCATAGCTGATAGAAATAGCTCTTAAAATTACTACCTAAATTGAGATTTCAAAGATACTGAATGACAAGTGATGGATTATGGTTTTTTTTTGTCTAATGTTTAGCTAATATTATGTTGGAAACAATTAAATTACTTTTCATAATCTCAGTGTGAAGGTACAAATCTTGCAATACAGGCAATTTTGAAGCCAATCATCTCTTATGAAAAACTTGATACTGATTTTCCCTTTGAAGTTTTTACCATACATAAGTTTCTAAAGTACATAATTAAACTTACCTCCTGAAAGGAGAGCAGGCTTAGTCTTTACCATTGGACTAGAACGAGGAAACCTGTTGCTGAATGACATGAAAAGATGTGCTGTGAAATCATCAGGAAGTTCAGCTTCCAGGAATGTCTTCATAAATAGCTTGAAACCTTCAAAATCTATCGTCTGAAAAAGAAATTTGAAACCTGTATTTTAAAACCCAGGCAATGTTTCGTTTGTGCCAAGTTCAAAATCATCCAGAGTAGAAATGGCCTCACACATTTTTATGTTCAGGTCTACAAAAGGAAGGTAACTGTTTAAGAAGAAATAGATTGGCCACCTGTAGGGTAATGTTGTTGACTAGATAGGTATGTCTTACCTGTGTCAGTGCTGCAGGAAAAGCAGTTTTCCAATCAGACATGTCTATTTCCACAGTATCTGTATGACTTCAAAATTTTTTTCTCTTTGAAACTTAGATTTCTCTCTTGAAAACTGGGAATAATATTCCCAACCCCATGAAGAGATGGTAATTCAATCAGGTGACTGAGGTAAACTTGCCAATACAGAGTCATGAGGTCAGGTGCTCTACATGAAGGGAATTTCTCATCTTTCTCCTTTTTCTCTAGTGCTGAATGCCGAATATTGCTTTTGACTGTTTTGGTAAGAAGTTATTAGCATTCAAGTTTCCATTAAACACTAAGAACAATTAATATAAAATTCCAAAGTGAAACTGCAAAGCTTCCTATAAAGACTTCAAAGAAAGCTATTTCAAGATTTTTTCACAATCTTACCCACTGCAAGACTATAAAAGAGTAGACATTTATTTGAAGAGTTACTGCTGCATTGAATGTCCATGTCAACTTGGGGAGATGGAGATGAAAGCCTCTTCTAGCCTCAATTTAATGAAAGGCTTTACCAGAACCACCCAGACAGCTTGTGTCTCCCAGCAGGCAGGATAGGACACCAGTATCTGACTACAGGCTTGGAAGTTAAGGACAGGGGTACAGATGGTTTGGGGCAAAGACCCATGAATGGTACTGTATTTGGTTTGGCCAGCACCACTAGTGTGAAAACTCCTACAGAGAACAATGCCTAAATGTTTCCTATGAAATATATAGAGACTACATGGAAGAGAAGACTACTTAGGATCCTACCCAGTAAGCCTTTTGAGGAGCCGGGAGACCTACAGAGAAGAAACAGGAATAGAGCCATTCCAGCTAGTTTTAGAGAATGCAAGTATGATGGGTCTCACAGAAAGTCCAGGAAGGGTAAATTTTTCTTACTCAATTTAACTCAACTAAGATAAAACTAATAATAGGGCAAAATGTGATTTTATTAACTGAGATTTAATCTTAACTTTGTTTAAATTTCTGGAAGAAAGAATAAAATCAATTCTTTAACTGATATTTGGCATAGAAAAAGGCTATCTCTCCTATGTAATAATACTGGGGTAAGGTGGTAGAGAATGACAATTTTGTTCTTGTTTTTTTTTTTTTTTTTTAAAGATTTATTTATTTATTTATACAAGCACTGGGTACAGTCAGAGTGCGGGAGGGTGAGAGAATTCACCAGAGCCGGATCAGGGAGCAGAACAGACAGACTGACAAAATACATTGCTGAGGGGAGCAGCGGGCAGCAGGAGGCGTCTGCGCGCCATGTGGGACCCTCGCCCAGTGGCCGGGGATCGAACCGGTGCTGCAGAGGCTGCAAGCAGCTTCACAACCCAGTGCTCAACCGCTGCACCACCGGGGAGGCCCTCTTGTATTATTTTGAATAAACCTAAAATGGAATATAACTTAAAGGGATAACATCAGAAAATGTAAATGATGTGTTCTGGGATCCTGTGATAATTAAGTGCATGTACTGTGTATGCCTTTGTGCCTAATATGACCTCAAACAAATAAAAAATGAAACCAAAAACTTCAGACTTTTTTAATGATTCCAGATATTGGCTAACATTTAATCTGACATTTTTAGCTTAGATTAGTCTTGATTTGTTTATTTTCTAAGAAAGGTGGATCCAAATTTGCATTACACCCTGATGTAGCAGAAACCAACCAATCAGACTCCATCAGCTTTCACTGAACAAATGACATTTGTTCTTGAATTCCACAAATACTGCCCAAAGACCCATCCTTGGGGAGCCTGGTTTGGGAGTCTTGTCTCCATTCTTCTACCAGGTGATTTCACATTAAACTGGTTTATTTTCTCAAAAGTTGGTAGCTTGGATTTTTGCTTCTGTGCCATAGGTTAGTGTGACACTTCCAAGTGCTTTTTCCAAAATACAAAAGTAATCCACACTCAGTTGGATAAGAGAATAAGATAATGTTTAATATGATGCCCTGTGAGAACCAGGAGTTAAATTTATTGCAAAATTTGTGTAACATACATCTTCTTCATAATCCTTGTACTTGGGGCAAGTATATTCACAGTCACTCTTCTTTCTGTGCCCTAAGTCTTTTGTAGTCAGCAATGTGTTTGGCAGCATAATTGATTGATAGGAGTATTGTTTTAAAGTCAGACTCCCTGGATCTACTCTCAGATCCAATCAATACTTTCTATCTGTGTGATGATGAGCAATTTAATAAATTCTGTCCCTCAAATTGTCCACCTATAAATGAGAATACAATATCTACCTTTTGATTTATTAGGAACAATTCCAAATAGTATATGAAGAATGAGCCTCAAAAGCATATTACCTTAAATGTTTATGCACAAGTAAATGTATATGTATTTAATAAGGCATTAGGTGGTCCATTTGCGGGGGTTTGGGTTTTTTGCTTTTAGAAAGTTGGTAACAAAAAAGAACAAAGAATTGAAACTTAAACTCTGGATCTCCATTTGGCATATGATTATATTAAAAAAAACATTTAGAGAAAAGTATTTAACATAATAACACAGAAAAACAATAACCAACCAACTAAATAGAACAAAAACAAGGACTTTAGAATAAAATTATTTTAGTTCTTATTTACCTATACTTGCCACTTGAGTGATTAAGGACAAGAAATTTATCTGCTTCTTTAAAGAGAAAGTCTGCCCAATGTCAAGTTAGTGCTCTTTATAGAGCCTTATAAAACCCAGAGAACCTCCTTGAAACTGGTATCTGTGGTTTAATGATGGAAACCAGAAAAAGAACAAATCAAAAGGAAAAAATGAGCATAAATATATAGCATCCCACTTAACCAGGAATATGTTCTTCTACCATCTTTCTTTTTCAATACTCAGGAAAACATTCTGAAATTCCTCAAATATTTTACTCAGCAAGCAAAAAAAAAAAAATCTAGTTTTATCCTTGTCAGCTCAAGCTGTCCAGAATAAGATCAGCCTTTAGGGTAGCTGCTAAGTAATAATAAATGCATGTAAGAAACTTAACATACTCTTGGGCAGATGACATTTAAAATAAATAAAAGAAAATATTGGTTTGAGATTAGATTTTTTTTAATCCTAATTTGCCTTTTTCTTATTCGTCCAGAAAACTGGAAAATACACTACATCTTCCTAAATCAAACCTGTAGCTTTTGTATCTTGATATTTTGCCACAATTGTTCTATATCAGGCAACACTGGCAAATTACTGTTTTCAGAGAGTAGGCATTTAAAAACAAATTATCTTACTTTACAAAAATAAAAAGCTCTACAGCATAATATGGGAAAAATTTTCCTTCGTTCTTAAAGGATTTTAACAAGATGATGTCATCCTGTTTATTACTAAAGTAATAAATGATGAAGTAAATGTCCTCTAACTTCTTTGTGGTATTTTGGGAACAAACTACTTTTCTCTTATATCCTGTGTCATTACATGTAGCTTAAAATGCTGTAAAACACAAACTTCTTTAAAGCCCAAAATAGCAGTTCAGTGTTTCTAATTGGTGAAGGACTTAACCTATAATGTCTTTCCTAGTTAGCCTAGCTCCTTTTTTTTCTTATTAAAGATTTTCTAATATCTTCTACAATTCTACATTGTGCAAATTAGCAAACATTTCTCATTAATGGGCAATGTCATTAATCTATATATATTTTACAGAACACTTCCAAATTTAAGTGTCAGATTTTCTATTGCTCATGTGGAGAATATTAAAATTGATTTTTGTGTTTTTTTTAATTTTTTAATTTTTATTTTTTAATTAAATTTATTTATTGATCTAATTATTTTATATATTTTACATCATTTTTCATTTTTGTACATCATATGCATTTTCATCTTGGTTGTAGGCCCCATTAAAATCCCACCACCCATTCACCCATGAGCTATTTTGAGTATTGTGTCCTTTAAAAAGGATGAGGCCATTTATATACGTGTATTCATGGAATGGAAACAAGGTGGGGGAAAGTAGATGGGACTTAATTGAATGAGTGTCCAAAAATCAGATTGGCTATAAAGTCAGATATACCCACAAAACAATGTTTAAAAATTTTTAAATTACCCTTTCAATTATTTTTCCCCTTAAGGAACAGTCGTAGACTATTTAGGGAGATAACAGGGAGAATCTGCAAAGAATACAGACTGAGGGAGTTGCTCAGATATTTTTGCCAAATTGGCACAAATTCAGAACACATTTCTCTATGCCTTACATTATTATATCTGACCATCTGGAGTCTTTGTTTTTAAATGCCTGTTAATGCTAAAGAAATAACACTATTCATCCAAGCAGATTCAAAGTGAATGAAAATAAATATCGTCATTCTATCATCATTTTGGCAGTTTCAGCATGAGATTTTCTTACATTCAGCAAGTGTTCATTGTACACCCACTTTGCACTGGATTTCTTTTCTAGGTGTTGGGGTAAAGATTTTACTGGAATATGCAAAATTCCTTCCATCATGGGATTTCTCTTCTAATGAAGGGAATAATAAAAGAATGAAGTAAATAGTCTAAAGGTACAATATATGATGGTAATAAGTACCATGGAAAAATTAAAGAAAGAAAAGGTTTATATATTTTAGAGGAGACACGGTTTTAAATCTGATGGTCAGAAAACAAGAAACTGTATTTGTAATAAAGATTTAAAGAAAATTAGGGAAAGCATGCTACTGGTATTTAAAGAAACAAAATTCCAGATTGAGAAAGCATGTAGTGCAAATGCCCTGAGGTATAAGAATTACCCTGTTTTAGAGGAATTTTTATAGAAGCTCATGAGAAGCAGGAGGCTGAGCAGGAGTGACGGAGGACTAGAGTAATAGAAG